CGGCCCCGCCCCCCCGCCGCCTCTGAGGCGGCGCGAGCGCGTCCCCCGCCGCCATCATGAACGACCCTTCCCAACGGCGCCTCCTCGCTTCCCCCCGGGGCCGTGCTCGCCCTTTCGAGGCGCCCGCTCGTTTCGTGGCACAGGGCAGGCGTGTCGAGAGGGGTGAGGGAAAGAAGTGCCAGCCAAGCGCCTCGTTTCCATCTTAAAGCGCTGCTCGGCTCACTGTCGTCCCTCCCTCCCGCAGGGAGCCCTTTCCTGTTAGTTGGTGTGAGCTCCGTGCTGGTGTTTACTGAAAAACAGGAGGTAGCTCCCAGTGCACGCAGAAGACGAGTGTTAAGTCCTCATCACAAAAGTCTTATTTCAGTGCCCTGCAGGGTCAAGGAGAAGTTTAATGGGGCTTTGGTATGAATGCTGTAGGTGAAAATGTGAAAAAAATCCTCCCCACTTAAGTGTAGCAACTAGAGGTTTGTAAGCATTTGTTTCCAGACAAATAACTGCTGCAGGTGAAGTTGATCTCTATTTCACAATTTTGATCCGCTTTCCCCAAGGAACAGGGCAGAGATGCTGGGTTACCTCACAATTTCCCGTCTTTCTCACTTCCTTCCCTCCTGGCCGCCATTGGTATTACTTAATTTCAATCAAATCCAGTGCAATTGCTGTCCCAAATGAATTTGGAATACCTTTCACACAAGCAGGTGCCTGGCTCAGGGGAAGATGGTCTCAGTGCACATGCAGAGCAGGAGGATGATATTTTTTCTTTTTTTTTCCTTTGGACAGCAGGGCATGCAATTGAATGAGGGGTGCCAGAGCCCTGGAACAGGCGGCCCAGAGAGGTTGTGGAGTCTCCTTCTCTGGAGATCTTCAAACCCGCTTGGCCGCAGCCCTGTGCCACGTGCTCTAGGTGACCCTGCGTGTGCAGGGGGCTGCGCTGGCTGATCCCTAGAGCTCCCTTCCAACCTCAACCATTCCGTGGGTGCTAGGAATGAGGCTTAGTGATTGCTGCTTCTGAGCAAACTGCTGTGTCCTTCCCTCCGCAGGTGCCCTCTGGTGTCAGCAAACACTTGTTCCTGCTTTACCTGTATAAGACTAAGAACAGATGTCACAACCTTCTGCTCCGTCTTGTGCGCATCCTCTCTAGACCTGCCCGGGACAGGCATCTTTTTCTCCACTTAACTTCCTGGCTATTTAACCCTATGTGAGGTAAGATTTTACACAAAATGGTTTAGTTTGATCCATAACGTTTACTTTGTATCCAGAACTGATGTAACTAGCTGGTGCTATTCCCACACATTCCAAAATCATGAGTTAGCTTGCTTTTCCTGCAATCTCCTTCCCCCCAAATGAAATTAGCCTCAAAAGTCGTACAGTTAAAATACAAAAACATGAGGGTTATTGTGTTCCTCTCAATGTCTGGCCTTGAAGGAGCATGTTTTCAAGTTTCCTTTTTTTTCAAGTGATAAAAAGGAAGCTGAGATACTCATGCATTCACATGATTTCAGGAATTAAGGCTTGAAGGGTAAAATACTATCAGCTGTAAGGTAAAGTAATGGTATTTTTCAGAAAAAGGCCCACATGGAACAGTAAACAGTGTACAGTGTATTCGCGGCATTAGAGTTAGTAGCGTATACTAAAAAAGTATATAACTTCACCAATCACAAACATTACCAATGTCTGAACCAGCAGAA